TTTTTTTTCTTGTAAGCTCTATGAGAATTTTCTGTTGCAACTTGGCACCATTTCTGAGTTTGGAAGAATGTGCTAAATGTGTTGGACTAGGAATGTAAAGGGATTACTGCTTAACCAGAGGCCCAGCTGAGCTCGAGCAGCCCATTCCCTGATGGGCATGACCAGGCTGGAGCAGCCCCCTGCCCATGATGGGCCACACGCGGGGGGCTGCTCCTGCCCGTCCCACTGCATTGTGCCACAGGTGGCTGCTCCAAGCTGTGCATAACTTTTTAAACGGTTGATATCCCTGTGTTGGACCTATCAATTCACATTACACGTCCCTTGATTTGGCACTTTTGAGTCTTGTATGTGAGTGCATCTAGCAGGCTTAGGGTTCTGGCGGAGATTGTAAAGTTTGTATGGGGAAACTCCATTCACTTCGCTGGTGCAGCCTGAAAAATCCAGTCCCTAGGATCAGGGTTTAGCACTGCTTTAAGCCAGGTGCTTATGTGCGGCGTTTTCAAGAGGAGCAAAATGTACATTAGCTTGTAAAGAAGAGTTTACAACTCTACCTCCAGTTTCATGAAAGTGTATGTTAGGCTTTGTGTGTGTATGCGTACACCATTCAGAACTTGCTTTTTAAAAACTGAGAACTCCATTAAGTAGATACAGCCATTCCTGAGGCCTTTATACTTACAGGGGGGTTGTGAGCAATCATTGGTCAATGATATGGTTCAAGCACTAATACTGAAGTCAGCTACTGAAAGCCATAGTATCAAATTGTTCTTATACGAGTTTGTGTATGTTCTCCGGAATAATTTTAGTTAGTAAATTATTACTCCAGAGCAGTGACAAGTATTTATGGATAAGATTACAAATCCATTTTCAATCTGATGCAAGCGTTAGAACATAAGAACAGCCACTGGGTCAGACCAAAGGCTCATCCAGCTGCTACAGCGTTTCCCAAACTATGGAAAAAAATGCCGGGCCCCAGCGCGCCTGGTGGCTGCGGCCCTTAGGCCGATTGAACCCATGCGATCGAATCGGGCCCTGCACCTGCAAGTGCCGGCGACTTAAGAGCCAGGACCTGCTCCAGCGCTCTGTGGAGCTGGGTCTCTCCCTGGCTCCGCCTGGAGCTTCCCCTGGATCCGCCCCGCCCTGTCCCTGCCACGCGCAGCTTCTCCTCGCCACCTGCCGCCCGTGCGAGGCGTTGCACGTGGGTGGGGAGGATGTGACGTCATGGCCTGGAGCTTTGAAAGCCGCGGGAGGCACGTGGCGGGGCCTGGCTGGCTCCGGGTTCGGCCTCCAGGGCCTGAGAGCGGCCCCTGGCCCCGCCACATGGAAGGAGAAGGCAGGGAACTGGATTGTGTGGAGGCGAGGAGAGGCAGCGGGGGAGGGGAAGGCACCAAGGGACAGGGGTTCAGGAGAGACATGGCAGGGGGCAAGTGCAGATGATGAGGGAAAGGGTTCCAATTAAAGTAAAAAGTTTGGGAATAAGAGCCTCCGGAAAAGGGCGCTTTTTCCGGAGGATCGGGGCCAGTGTAGACGTTCTTTTCCGGCTTTTCTAAAAGCCGGAAAAAAGCGGCGGACATTTTTATTTAAATGCCGCGGGGGATATTTAAATCCCCCGCGGATTTCCCTACTGCGATAGCTGAAATTAACATGCCCCTTCCGGAAAAGGGGCCAGTTTAGACGTAGCCAAAGGGATCCAATACATGCAATTTCCTCTATCCCTCAAGAAACTCAGAGAGACCATCCCAATGGCCTGTGAGGAAACTAATAGCTGGGGAAGACCCTGGCTGGCAAGGTTTACTCTTCCCAGACCTGAGCTCAGGATGAAAGGGGACCTTATTAGGAAATGTCTATTCTTGGGAGTTATTTCAAAATAACAAGGCGAGCATCCACACTACTAAGCCTGTTATGAAATAAGCTTTTTTCAAAATACCCCCATTATTTCAAAATAGTTAAGAGTTATTCTTCTTCACAAACAGGAGATATTTCGATATAACTTATTTGTAAAAAACCTGGTAGTGTAGACATAGCCACATGGACTAATCACAATCAAAAGATGTCGAGTGTAAATGACTGTTTTAAAATGTAAAAAGCAGTTCCCCTATGCACCAAGGGGTGCAGTAGAAGAGCAGTAGTATGTGCCCTAGAGATGTGAAAATACTGGTCGGTGCCAGAATATTAGCAGCTAAAGTACGAGTCCCTCTACCATTTCAGAGCTGTAAATGCTCCAGCCTTGCTCAAACTGCCTATAGTGTTTGTTTTTGTGAACTTTTCCGGGATTATCTATTGACATCTCTTGCTCTGTCAGACTTGTCTCTTCTTGAAATACTATTTTAACCCAACCCTCTTTTTCAGCGGTGTTCAAACTCCAGCACTTCCCAGGTGGTGGCATCGCAACCCTCCCAGGGGACATCGCAGCCCTTTCAGATGGTGGCATCGCGACCCTCCCAGGGGACATGGCAGTTCTCCCAGGTGGTGGCGCCGCAGCCCTCGCAGGGGACATCGCAGCCCTCCCAGGTGGTAGCGTCGCAGCCCATCCAGGGTATGTCACAGCCCTATCAAGTGACGTCGCAAGAGCCCTCCCAGGTGACGACATCGAAGCAGCGCTCCGAGAGGACATCGCAGTTCTCCCGGGTGACAGTGCAACAGCCCTCTCTGGTGGTTGCATTGCAGCCCACCCTTGTGACAATTCCGGAGGCCACCCATGTGACAGTGCCGGAGCCCACCCGAGTGACAGTGCCACAGCCCTGTCAGGGGATGGCATTACAGCCCTTGCAGGGGACATTGCAGATCTCCTGGGTGGTGGTGTCACAACCCTCCTATGAGACATCGCAGCCTGCCCATGTCATGGTTCCGCAGCTCTCCCTGGGGACTTCTCAGCTCTGCAGTGTGGTGGTGCCGCAGCCCTCCCGAGGGATATCACAGCTCTCCCGGATGAGTGCTTCTCCGCCACTGCCCTCCTGGGGGACGTCGCAGCCCTCCCGGGTGAGTGCTTCTCTGGCCCCACCACCCGCTCCTCCTGCCCCCACACCCACTCCTCCGGTTCAGCTCTGCTGTCGTCGCCTGTCCAACTCATTGAGCCGGAGCTACCGCCGGTTGCAGCAGCGCTGTTCTCCCATACGGGAGGGCATCCCAAGCCCGGAGAAAGATCAGTTCCGCCGGCCCTGGGCGAAGCTGGACGCTGAGCTGGCAGGTGAAGCAGAGGGGTCACGCGGCACCGCCATGCCCCTACCATCCATCCAGCGTCCCGCGGCTGCAGCCACTGGCCCCGCCGCCATCCATGAGCAGCCTAAAAAGGAGGTGCCTAAGAATTTAGCACCGCCGCCCAGAGAGAGGAAGGTGCAGTGGGCGCCCCAGGCAGGGACTGGCCCCTTGCCTGACTCCCGCCTATTTCCAGCGGTGTTCAAACTCCAGCACAGGGGACGTCGCAGCAGCCCTCCCAGGGGGTGACGTGTTGCACACATGCTTCTCCCGATCCACCACAGCAGCCCTCTCCGGTTGTGATGTCGCAGCAGCCCTCTCGGGCGGTGACGTCACAGTTCTCCCGGGTGACTTTGCAGCCCTTTCAGGTGCTGTCATTGCAGTTCCCCCGGATGACAGTGCCACAGCTCTCCCAGGTGGTGCTGCCACAGCCCTTCCAGGAGACATCACCTCTCTCCCGTATGGTGGCACCGCAGGCCTCCCAGTGGATGTTGCATCCCTCCCAGCTGGTGGTTCCGCAACCCTCCTGGGTGACTGTGCCGCAGCTCTCTCGTGTGGTGGCGCCGCAGCCCTCCCAGCCACCTGGTCCTCCCCCGACACCCACTCCTCCGGCTCAACCTTACTGCCGCTGCTGGTTGCAGCAGTGCTTTTTTCTTGTGCCGGAGGGCAACTCAAGCCTGGAGAGAGATCAGTTCCGCCAGCCCCAGGCAAAGCTGGCTGCTGAGTCAGCAGGCAGAGCAGAGGGGTCACGGAGCACCGCCATGCCCCCACCATCCATCCAGTCTTCCTCTGCTGCGGCCGCTGGACCCACCACCACCCGGGCACATCCTAAGCAGCAGGTAGGGCCTGAGGATTCAGAACCGCCACCCAGAGAGAGGAACCCGCGGAGAGCGCCGCAGGCCGGGACTGGCCCCTTGCCCAACTCCCACCTCTGCACCTCCCAGCAGCAACAGTTACAGCCACAGCCGCCACAGCAACCACGGAAGTCGAGCCCAACTCGTAATCGTGGTCGCTCCATCAGGAACCCAGGCAAGGTGGTGAGGCCGGAGCCGGAGGCTGCAGTCCCTACGACGAAGTACAAAATTAACCTCTCAGCTGACGCGACCTCGCTGCTGCTGCGCCGCCACCTGCAGAACAAGTGTGGGTGGATGAATCCCTTCGTCGGCACCAGGCTCCTGCCGGGCTCCCGAAGCAGAGCCGACCTGGACCTCACATCCTTTATAAAGATCTCGCTCCTGAATGACCAGAACCGCTACGACGACGAGGAATATGATGAGGATCCGGTGCCGGGGGTTGTGGACCAGGAGCTGGTGCGCAGGTGCACGGAGTGGCTGCATGGCGTGAAGAAAGTGAAGAGAGGGGACAGGCTGGGAAAGCTATACCACCTGGATAACTCCTGAGCCTGAGGGGCGGAGAACCATCTCGCTGCCGCTCCTCGCGGCAATAGCCGTGGCTGCCCGTGTGCTGTGTCTCGGAGCAGAGTTCCTCCATCCTCACCAACACCTGGTCTTCTGACTGTCCCATTCTGCTCCATACGTTCTTGTCTACAGACTCAGCCACGAGAGGAGTCTAAGTGCCGGGTTTAACCTGACAGGAAACAGACTTCCTCTGCCCAGACAGAGGCGAGGGACAGCTGTCTGTTCAAAATGCATGGGGACCCACAGGGGTCTGTTTTACGGAAACGGGGGGAGGGTGAGTGGGAGAAAAAATAAATATTCATAGTTGCTATGGCCTGTGTATTTTCTTTTGCATGTTGTGGCATTTGGGAATAGAAACAATTGGGGCAGACTAATCAGTGTTGCACACATGCTTCTCCCGATCCAGCCCGGGCTTCATTTGTAACTTCGGATGCCTACATTAACCACCCTAGTTCAAACTAGGGTGGTAGTGTAGACATACCCAGGGGGAAGAAGACGTGTGAATGAGATGGCTTGAGCCAGGTTGCCTATCAACTAATCAAGTAGTCAATAATTCTATTGACTACTCGATTAAACACCTGCCTCTTTACTCAACTATATGAAATAGGGACGTTATCAGTCTTTGAGAACCCAAGTTGAGAATCTTAAGTGATAGTAAATCTCCATATTCTGTTTTGTAGTGGAATTCATAGTCAGTGAAAGTTAAGTGCTAAATAGCAACACTCATAAATAAACCCCAAGAATCTCTTGGCAGTACACTTAGTTTTTGAAGCATTCTTTTATTGTAAAGTGGATATAATTTGAATACATAATCCTATTACATGGTTTATTATAGCAGTCTGCAACAAAAATAGTGAATTAATATGTAGAAAACAAATTAAGCATTTCAATTTTAAGTCCTTTTTCCTCTTCTTCAGGTATAGTCTCTCATATATTCCTTATGCAAGGTGAGTCACCATTAATTGATCTCCTTTTACACAATTAAAAGTTAGTCAGTTTAGTCCTAATTTTTTTCAAAACTGTAATTTTCTTAAATCACACTCTTTAAACTTTCTAATTTTGAAAAGCCAAAAGTAGCATTCATATTTTATATATCTATCTTAGCTTTTGGATGGAGGGTATGGAGGCAGGAAAAGGGAATAAGGGAATTTGTGTGCGGCCATCTTGGTCTTGTTAACAAGAGAGCAAGAGTCAGGCTAAGTCTGTGGCTTGACAACACGAGAGCTGTAATAAGACACTACCTTTTCCTCTCGCAACCATAAACGTGGTATGGCCAGAGATAATAAGAAATCTATAAGAAACAACACGGGCAAGTGGGACAGCAGCATATTTAAGTAAAGATGCCCACAACAATGAGGAAACTAGTAACCTCACCATTGCAATAACAGCTACTTGCCCTGCTACTCATTGGTGCCTGCTGCTTTAAAAGGCCTCAAGAATTATGGAATTGCATGTGTTAACAATTAAACATCTGTGAACCATACTTGGTCCTATAAGAAAAACTGTGATTTCAGTCAATGAAACCAGACTTTAAGTCACATACATAGAACAAATACACACTAATAGCGATGGGGAATACACTGTCTTGGGCCGCCCCTCATTGATACATAATTATTTTCTTTATTGTAACAACATGAACACTACAAGGACAAAGAATACACAGTCCTCTGAGTTAAAGTTTGTATGGAATTTTGTGGGAGAGAAGCTAACAATACCAGGCCACTGAAGTTGGACCTACTGACTCCCAGCTTACCACTTAAAGCCCAGACAAAGGTAACCCCTTAAAGTCCAGACAAAGGTAACCCCTGAGGCATGGCTGTCATTAGTTAAACAATGGCCATTGCTAACTTGCCCTCATTTGGATATTATTAACCAGGTCTTTAAGGACAAAATAGAGCCTCCAAATTGTGCATCATGGCCTGAACAGACCCCTGTCCCAGAACCAGGACAACTGTCACTGGTCCTTACCTTGGTGATGTTCCACAGTGGTATAGACCAGCTGTGTGCTAGACTGGCTAATGAAATTGGCAAGTGCCTGATTTGGCAATGACGGGGCTTAGCAGATACCATCGCAGATTGGTTTGGGCATGGAAACTGTGTCAGCAACACTTATGTCATAGCCCAGAAATTGTATAGAATCCAGGCTGGTAGATGCAGTAATATCCAGTGCCCGGGGAGGTCTAGACACCAGCCAAGCTAATCAAGTGATCCTGGATAGTTTGAAGGATCCGTCCAGCTCTGTGTCCACTTCACTAGACCTAACCAGATATTTGGACCAGAGACTAATTGGATTGTTAATTAATGGAACTAAATTAAAGGTATTAGAAGGCCAGTATTGAAGAATAGGATAGCTTTGATCTTATGGTGGTGAGTCCCCCATCTCCCCTGTGCCTATCCATGGGAGTGGGGAAGTAGAGAATCCATGAGGACCCAAAGGCCCATCTGGACAGGGCATAGTATAACCATTTGTTTTTGGCCCCTCTGGGGATTCCTCACTCAGATCAGATCAGAATGGTAACCTCCCTGACTGTACCAAAGCAGGAGAATATAGACAGAGTCGAAGGCATTGCTTATTCTGAAGGTGTGGGAGCCTCCCTGTACCCAGGGATTGTTGCACCCACTTTGATAAAGATATTTTTTGTACCTGCCCATGGAACATCACGACGAATCTGCGTAGGTTTGATGTGGTTGTCTCACAGAAAAACAAATGAACATCGAGCTGGTCCAAATAAACGGTACCTACTGTATTTGAAATAAGACTTCTCAGCAGGGTGGCTAAGCTTGTTCTCTGAGACAGGAAGAGTTCAGCTATGCTTCCTTTGGAAGTCTACTGGGCATGTCCCACTGGAAGGCTGACCTAGGACACGATGAAGGGGTTATATCTCCTGGCTGGCCTGGGTACATTGGGGAATCCCCCCCCCCACCTCCATCCAGGAGGAGCTGGAATCTGTTGAGGAGGATAGGGAAGTCTGGTCCCACCTACTCTCCATGCTGCAGATGGCATCAAGATAAGAGAGACGGCAAGCACTTTGGATGACAGGATTAGAATTCAAAATTATCTTGATGAATTGGACTGAATGCAATAAGATGAAATTCAATAAAGACGTGCAAAGTAATACACTAAGGAAGAAAAAAATTAAATGAACAAATACAAAATGGGAAATAACTTACTGGGCAGGCAGGTAATAGCAGATCAGAAATTGAATACAAATCAACAGAGTGATACTATTGTGACAAAGACATCATTGTGGTGTATATTAAACAGTAGTATCAAATGTAAGACATGGAAGATTGGTGAGGCATCAGGTGTACTGTGTCTATTTTTGGGCATCACTTTAAGACAGGTATGACGAAACTGGAAAGACTCAAGAGGACAGCAATACAAATAATAGGAAATTGAGAAAATATGATTTTTCTAACTATAAGGATAATTACACACTGGAACAAGTTACCTAAGAAGGATGTGAAGCACCTCCCTCCCCTGTCTTTGGAGGTTTGAGAATAGGTTAGACAAACATCACTCAGGGATGATCTATATATATAATTTATTCTGCCTCCATGGAAAAGGATGGACTAGACTTCCAGGACTCTTCCAGCTCTTCATTTTTGCATAGTGTATCTTCCTTATGGCATTAAGCTATAGAACTAGGTTAAAAACACCTTTTATAATATTTAAAAAAATGTAAGCATAAGCACTTATTTTAATACAATTTCACATTATGGTAACGGTTTTCCCATACAGAGCAAATTTCAAAATCAGGACTTTAGCATGCAATACTACCTTTTCTGCATCCTTCTATGTATGTTCTTAATCATCCACCAATACATGTAGTAGAAAAGACAAAGAATATTAACATGGTGAAACAGGTCATTGTGTGGCTAAATTTTGATTTGTTAGATACATTTTTTAAATAGTCTTAATCTTTATGTCAAGAGCAAACAATAATGGAACTCATTAGTGCCATCTATGGCATGTTTCTGGAAATAGTACACACCAATCATCAATGCACATATACTAGTGAATCTGTATCTTATGGTGAACTACTTTGAATCTTAACTCAGCTTTAAAAATTTTTAATTATACATTTAATTGAGGTTTTCTTCATCTGCTGAACTTCCTACAACTTTTCCCTCATTTCTAAAAAATTACTACAAACAGATAAAGAATTCAGATGCAAATCTGATGCATCCAAATTGATCTGAATTGGGACTGGGAATGGCTCCCTTATTAGCGTAAGTAATTTTCCATTTTAGGTATTGTCACCTTATCCACACAAGCCCACAGGACAGGGCAAGTGCTGCAGGACCTGCTGACTCAAAGGGGCCCAGAACTCTTCGCTGCCACTGTGGCAGTGGCTGGAGCCCCAGGCATTTTAGATCACTACTGCCAGTTACTATATTTGAATTTTTAAAAAAAGAGGACACTCCTGAGAGGATTAATTGTACACATTAATAGTATATGTTGTATTAATTGTTGTGTACACATTAATACAACAGTGAGTCCCTACATACTGATACAGATACACTCCCTCTGATGTGTAAAAGGGAAGTCAAATCCCTCGGAGCCATTGATTCCCCTATGAGGGGCACGTACAATATACATACATTGCTAATGCTTAGATATATTTGCTATTTGTATAGGAGTAAGACATGACAAAGGTCAAGGCCTGTCACAGGTAATAACTTATAATAAGGAGACGAGGGGAAGTGAAACCAGTCTTCTGTTAAGTAGAGATATGGATAGATTCCACATCCTTTAAACTTGTGACCGGCTCAAGCAGGAAAGGAAAAAGGGAAGTATGGCTTGCCCATTGTTCAGCAAGTAGGCACTGTATTTAACCTCATTTGGAAAATTAACCTGACCTATAGGAATGCTAAATGTCAAAGATGAAGTAACCTATCATGTTAAGGCACCTAAACCAGGAAGGATGTTAACCCTATAAGAACCCCTGCATATGAGATGTTGGGGGTCGGCTCTGCTTTGAACATTGAGTTCCTTAGCCGTACCTTGGTTGCAACCAATAAACTTGAGTTGGACCCAGCCTGAAAGTGTGACTCTCTTCTTGGGGTAAATCAGACTAGCCTCCAAGGGGACGAAACCTTGCAATTTATGCAACACCTCTGAGGAGTGTCCTCTTTTTTTGAAAGTTCTAATATGGTAACCCTAGCAGGCAGTGCACTCTGGATGGTGCTGAGGGGAAGGCACAGTCTGGGTGGTGGTAAGGGCTGGCTGCCCTGTCCTTCTGCTCGAGGACCTACACCTTCCAGGAGCACAGAGCCACCCCCATTCCCACCTTGCCCAGGTGCCTAGCCAATCTGTTCGCTCCCTGTATCCACGTCCATCCTGACTGAATTAGCTCCCACGCTTCTCCCCCATCTCTGGACCCCTTGCCAGCTCTTTTTCTTCCGTTCTTTCTCTTCATACATCTGCGGAAGCGAGGTGCGGCTCAGGAAAGCTTATGTGGAAATCGGATTTTAACGTGCCAGTCAACTCTCAGTTGTGTCTAATACGGTCCGCACGCGTCGCTGGTGAGAAAGCCCAGCATGAATAAAATTCGACACTCACCGCGGGGGGACTCAACAAAGACACCTACTACCTTACCCATTACCAGGATAGCTTCCCCAATTATCACCTCTAATCCCATTAGCTCACAGACATCTACCTTTCCCCACCTCTAATATCACTAACTCACATTTACCTTCCTTCCCCCTGCATCCCCCTTCTGTTCTGAAATGTGATTTGTCCTTTTCATATTTGTTCATTTTTTTAAATTGTATCCTTTGGTATATATGGTTGTGACTATTTTCTTCCACTATTTGATCTGAGGAAGTGGGTCTGGCCCACGAAAGCTCATCATCTAATAAACCATCTTGTTAGTCTTTAAAGTGCTACATTGTCCTGTAATGTGTTTCCGCAGCATGAGGCACCGAGAGAGAGAGAGAGAGAGAGACCTTAACACAAAATAAAAGAACTTTTAGAGGGATTTCTATGGTAATTAGTATGACAAGTTGTACACACTTGCTAAAGTTAAAGGGTGAGGAATTTGTACTAATATACAAGAAAGATTATGCTGGACTATTGCATAAATCACTTTCTTTCCAGAACGGCATATATTTTCCAGTGTGTAAATCTACCTCTGCACTATAAATAATGAGATAATATTTTTCAAAGTAATATATTTTGGGTTCCTTTAAATATAAATTGTATCCATTATTTATGTTAATTAGTTTGGGGAGGTTTACAGTATTTTAAATGTAGACAGTACATGTTGCAGTTCTCAGCGGAAGGCATAATCTTCTTCATATGCCTGAAACTCTGTAATTTAATTCTCAAAATCTGATAGACACAAGCTATAATTCATTCGTTAATAAAAATTGAAATGCTTAATGTAAGATATTATATATATGGATATGTAAAATTATCTCCAACAATTTTAGCTTAAACAATAAATCTGTCTGGCATTATTTGTCATATTATAGATCTCAGCAGGACATGGTCATATATATATATGGTAGCTTTTAACCATATTTTCTTAAAACAAGATTAATCTATCTTTGATATAAATTCATATTCTTATATTGAGGAAAATTATAGCTCAGATTATGGTGATTTTGTCCACTTCTTCTTCCTGCCCCGCCCTCACCCCCGCTGGGAGCTGGGGCTGGGCCCAGCCGGCGCCGCCCCTGGGAGGCCGGGACGCTATCGCGCCTCTTGTTTGGCCCACGGGGCCGCCTGGCCTGGCCTGGTCGAGTTTCGCTTTGCGCCTGACGCTGCGCTCGCGGCGTTGGGGGCGAGTTTGCTCCCTAGGCTCGCGTGGCAGCTCTGGGCCCGGGGCGCCCCTGCAAAGCTAAAGCCCCCAGTCAATTCTTGGCTTCCCCGTGGGTCTGCAGTGAGCTGGAGCCTTGCAAATGCTGAGACACAGTTTGGGCAGGGCTGAAATACGGTGGAAGCCTGTGCACGTTAGGAGGAAAAGCCAGGTGTAGCTCGGTTTGGGATAGGCATGTAAAAATAGTAATAGATTTCGTGGTTAAAGGTGTTGCAGCAGATGTAGGGGTAGGGAGAGAGGTGTTAAGAGGGCTCCCCATAGAAGGTCCCATGGGTCCCTAGCCCCCTTAGACTGCTGGCCTCGTGCTCCCTACCAGAGTTTAACAGGATCTGATTAAACTCATCCATCCCTGGTTTAGGATTAGCTCAGGGGTGGGTAAGAAATGGCCTTCCAAGCTGTTTGATCTTCCACACCCTTCCACCCCCAGGCTAATTGAGACTAGGGGGCGATGGGGAGTGTGCAAAGTTAAGTGGCACTGCAGAAGTAGGGCTGGGAGGAACTAGCTTTTAAGCGACTCCCCCCAGCATGGGTCCTGCATTTCCTCTTCTTCCCCACTCCCCGCCCTCCTTGCTGCCTCTGGGGGAGGGAGACTTCGGGGCCTCGGGGTGGAGGAACATGCAAACTCTCCTCCTGTTGTCAGGGATGCGCAGTGCCAGAGGGAACTGCCAGCTATCCAAAATGGCTGGCAGTTCCCTCTGGGCACCTTGCAACCCTGGCTGGGGGAGGGGAAGGAGACCCAGGCCCCATGGGGGAGCATGCAAAATCTCTCCCCGCAAGTGGTGCCTGGAGGGAACAGCTCCTCCGCCTGAGGGCCCGTGACCACTGCCAACATCAGTGAAGTGGTCCCTTTACAAAAATTGCCTGGATCAGCCTTGTAACATGGCTGTAGGACTAGGCCTGTGCCTGGCTATAAAGCTGGTTCTAGCCCATTCTAGGGATTCGTCAGACAAGAAACTTAGTCTTCAATTTGGACCAGTGTAGAGGTATGCTATCAACAAAGAGCAAAATCCATTCTTTATCTAGTCACTCATGCAGTTGGGCTGTGTCTACACTGGCGCGATCTTGCACCAAAGCTGCTGCTTTAGCCCAAAAACATGCCTGTCTACACTGGCGGGGAGTTCTTGCGCAAGAACACTGATGTGTGAAATCAGTGCTTCTTGTGCAAGAACTCTGATGCTCCCACTCAGGAATTAGCTTTCTTGCGCAACTGTTCTTGCGCAAGAGGCCAGTGTAGACAGGCAACATGAATTTCTTGCGCAAGAAAGCCCGATGGCTAAAATGGCCATCAGAGCTTTCTTGCGCAAGAGAACGTCTACACTGGCACGGATGCTTTTGCGCAAAAGCACATCTCTTGTGCAAAGGCACATGCCAGTGTGGATGCTCTCTTGTGCAAATACTAAGAACTCTTGCATTAAAGAGTATTTGCGCAAGATCATGCCAATGTAGACATAGCCTTGGAGTGTAAAATTATCATCAAAGGATTTATTTGGGTAAATGTAAGGGACTAGAAAAGCCAGACTTTAAAAGTCAGTAGTGGTCAGGTCACTGCCTTTAAATTCCACTTAATTTGTTCAGATACATGTCACACTTCAAGCAAAAATGTCCAATTGAAACATTACTGTCCCCTGTAGTTTGACATAAATATGGTATTTTTACTTTCCTTTCTTAAATTTCATTAATGAATTAAAAGAGTTCACTGTATAAAAGACAGCATGTAATTAGAGTTGATTATAGTGTAGTCACTCATAGTAGTCACTAATTCAATTGAGTTTCTTATGTAAAACCTTCCTTTCTGGGTTTATATATCCTTACATAAACCTTTCCATTTTAGAGTACTGCAAGTTATAAATAGGCTTGGAATGTTTTGATTTTTATCCCGTGAATGTTGATAAACCTTGATTTCACCAACATACACAAACAAAAATATTTTTATCCATAACTGAAATTAACAATTAGAAAAATGCTGCTTGAAAACTGATTAGAGTTTAGGTTTAGTATGTTTACTCTGTGTTTTGAAATGTTTTGTTTTAATGTTATACAATTTTGTTTTCATGTTGATGCTTACTGTTGTTCTTTGATCATTTATTTTTCAGTCTTTAATCTATTTAACTTTGAAAATTGCATGATTTATGAAGTTTAAAAATACACATTGGTTTTGAGGTAAAATCATTGGGAAAATTGAATTCTGCCAAGCATATCTACAATGCAAAAACAGTAACTGATATTGTTAAATGAAGCTGGCCTTGATTGAGATAAAAGTAGCAAGAGACTCCTGGAAATATACACTGCATTCTACTCTTCACTTGGTCCCTCTGCCATTTACAGTGACTTGTAAATGGTTCCTGCACCTACTTGTAGCTTACTTTTTTGTCCCTAACGCTAGGCTTTCTTGAAATTCACAGTTTTTATTTCTTAAACACAATAGTCTAAATGGCCATATAATAGCAGCCATCTGAATGGGAGTAAGCGTGGACTTTTGATAGGTAGTTGTAATTTCTGGGAGTTATGCTGCTTTTATTGATGTGATCTACTTTGATAGGAATTTCAAGTTTTACATTATGCATAAGGATTTTTTTCTCACGGTGGATTAAATATAATGATGCTCAATGCATTGATTGAGTATTGTATGCATGGTTAGTTTTTATTTTAACAACACATAAGTTAGGGAATACAAGCTATGCTCAGACATTGCATGCTGTGGGGAAGAGGGGCTGTGTGTAACCTTGTATGTTAAGTGATGAGTCAAAGCTCATTGGTCAACTGTGTACAATGATACATGTTCATATCCTTAATTTCTACACTGGCAGATATTTAAACGTGTGTAACATATAATTTACAATTTTTTCTTTTAAATTGAAATATATAACATTAGTGTTCATAATCCATGATCATAACAGTTAATATTCAAAACTACCCACATGTATTTTCCTTCCTTTTTCTTCATGTATTCTTTTGATGTTTCTACAAAAGACTTCTACACATTGGTTCTCTTATTGCTTGTTTCCATTAAGACTGACTGTATATTGTGTCCTGTACACAAACAAAAGATGTGGACCCTGTTTTGAAGAGCTTGTGCTTCTGCTTTCAGGGAGACAGTCTTAATATGAAAAAGAAGGGCCTCTATTCTTTCTTTCCTCATCCCTCTTCCCCATATCCTGCACTATATTCTGACTGGATAGGACTTGTTCAGAATCATATTATGGTACTTTAGTTGGGTGAAATGGCACTAGTGACGTGGAATTTGTAGCAGTTGCAACATGTCTTGGTCATAGCAACAAGAGAGGGATTCTTTTGACAGTATAAAGGTAACAGCACCTTGTTCAGTAAGTTTTATTAGTTCAGCCTAAACTAATTGGACAGTTGGCAACAGGATTGCCACAACAGAGGGTAAAAATAAAATTATTAAAATGATATAATGTTGATTCTTATTAATTTTAAAAGTACTAACTAGCTTCCACAGCTGCTTCTGTCACATTTCATGGCAACTGTGCCTGTATTCTTCCTTCATGGTCTATGAATGGCACCCACTCTTAGTACCAGGTTCATCAATTATCACCTGTCTTGAGAAGAGACCTGAGGGTCTCTCCCTCTTGACCAGGTGTGTGTGTGTGTGTGTGTTTTTTCCAGGGCTCTATGGTTTCTTGTGGTGTCACTAGCAAGCCATGCTGCCTAAACAGGCCAGCATCTATACAGCCTGTCTCTGACTTACGAACCGGTTACGGACCAAGCAGTTGGTTGTAACTCGGTTTGTTCATAAGTCGGAACCCTTTGAGTTACACACGACCGCGCTATTCGTAAGTGCGGATTGCATTTGTAACTCGGGGTCCGCCATTTACGACACTTTTGGTCATAACTGCCACAGTCGTAAGTCGACCGTTGGCAACTCGGGTACCAGCTGTATCTATATTTTTCTTTAAAGACTGAAAGTAGCTGTGATTGCCAGCAGTCACAGGTTACCACACAACTATTTCTAGAAAGCAAATTTATTCTTAAGGCACAAGGAACACAGAGAAAACACATTACAAACAATAAAAGAATCTATACCCGTGTTCAGAAGCTTATCTGAGATCACTCCCCACCTAACCCAATAAAGATTTTTGGTAGAAGTCAGTCCCTCAGACTCAGCCAATGGGTTTTCTATGGTTACAGTTTAGTAATAGCCTGAGCTCAGAACAAGCATCACCATGAATAAGTTGGTCTTGTCTTTATTTAGCTTGAGCTTTTGCTTTTGAGACTCTGCGAACTCATAATCAGTACACCATGGTTGTCTGTTCGGGGAGTAGTTTCAAAAGGTTGTTTTTTTGCATAACTGGAGGTGGGGAATTTGCGTTGACTTCCCCCTAGATATTTCCTCAAGCAAACTACTTGAGGATGGTTGTCTCAGAAGTTTCTTCTTGTCTGACACATTGTTCTTTGTAGTCTTTTTGAAGTTCATAACACCTCATGAGATTCTCACACTGTCTGCCTGCTAGGGGAAAGGTTAAATGGCTTGGGCCAGAAAAGTATAATACAATGGACCCCAGAAATAATTAAATTTGATAAGGTCTCCCAAGAGTACTGTAGACAAGATTGTATCTCATGCCTTCTGTCAAGGCTGTTCCCCACTCCGGCACAATGAATGCAGAAGTTGTGGACCTGCAAGAGAGCACCACAACCTTGCCTCTACAGACTCTGGTACAAAAACTTCCCCTGCAAAATCCTAATACTGCCACCATCAAGTGCTTTGAACCCACAAACATGGGTGAACACTTGAAACCAACCCCAAGGGTACTCCAATCTCTTTTTCCCCCCAAAAAAGATATAAAAGAGGCTTTTGGTATAAAAAAGATTTGGAACCACTGATTTAATAAGCCATATACAGTGGAATCTTACACCAGAGAGTTATGAAGTGTCAGCTTAACTACACATCTCATTTGAAATCTGAAGTGTGCAATCAGGCAACAGCAGTCAGAGAAAAGCAAGTACAGTACTGTGCTAATTGTAAACTACTGTAAAAAAGGGGGGGGAGTTTTAGAAGAAAATTGATACGGTAAGGAAACTTTCATTTAAATTAAGCATTTTTTTCTGTACAGTAAAGTTTCAAAACTGTATTAAGTCAATGTTGATATATAAACTTCTGAAAAAACAAGCATAACAAAATCATATGAAAATTTTAGAGTAATGAACAACTTCCAAAGATGTTTGTAACTGAGGTTCTACTATAGTTCACATTACTTTTCTTCTTGTTTCTTCCCTTTTTCAGATTGAAAACTCTTATTTCTCTTTTCCAAGATGTTTCATATAGCTTTCGTTTAATATAATGAAGGCATTTAAGTGTATTAAAATCAATATAAGTGCCTCAGGAAGAAGCTGGGTCCAGTTTAAGAAAATACCTGACTGCCTAGTTGCTTGTTTATGTTCAAATTGTGGAGAGAAAACAGTGACTACAAAAGTATTGTTTTTTTTAATTTGGTAGGCAGAACTACGAGCAGCTGTATTTTTGGCACTTGAAGAGCAAGAAAAAGTAGAGGTAAAGAGATAAAATAATGTGATTTCTATTTCAGCTTTCAGTGAATATTTAGTCAATAAAAATACAAATAATTTCATGGGGTTGTATTTATTTATTTTATCTATTTATTTATTTTGTCAATTTGCCAAAATACGGAGCTATCCTTAAATTCTTACTGATTGGCAACAGGATCAAGCTTTGCAGATAACAGAAATATCAAGTTTTTACTAACAGTGACATGAAGTGTTGGAATTTATATATGTATTGTATTTATAAGCTTTGTATAGTGTCATAACATCTCATTTAGAAATGGTTAACTCTCTTGGGTAAAATATTGATCTTGGCTAGATTTCAAATAGCATGTTATCCAGTTGCCTGGAATGACTCTGAAGAGGATAGGAAAGAGAGTAGGTGGATGAATTAATACGTTTTCTTGGACAAATATCTGTTGTGGAAAGAGACAAGCTTATGAGTTTCTCATGTCCCTGAAGAATAGCTCTGTGACCCTCAGAAGATTCTCTTCCACGATAGTTCACCCACTTGGACTCAGAATATGATGGAGATTAACACAGCTGCAACAACACTACAAACATCTAAAAAGATACTCCAGTGAATCAAGTGTGTGTTGATAAATTCTTTTAAAATGTTTCTTTTTGACATAGTATTATATCAGATCATAATAGACTTCTGAAATGTAAAAGATGGAAATGCTTTCAAAAGTCCTATTATGAAAAATTAGTGAAGTCATGCCATTGCCAGGAGTACTTCAGCATTTAAAAAAAAACCTAAAGATACTTTATAAGTTTACTCATATATAAGCTTACATTTAAAATTAGAACCTCTGAATTCTAAATTTAAAGTTCAAGAAAAAAATTCTCTTTTGTATATTTCTGTACTGCTTGTGTCTCGACAGGAACAGTTGACTTAAATCTGTGGTATCCAACATGCTAGCCACTAGCCACATGTGACTATTTGGCCAGTTGAGTGTGGCTAGGTTGCTATAGCAGTAGCTACTATAGTGGCTACTGTTTCAGAACTGGTTGGACACCACAGACTTAGACAAATGCTATTCCTGGAGATGTACGGGCATCGTTATTAGGCTGATGCATATTTTGGTATGCTGGTAATCTTGGTGTAGAATTAGGTGTTGTTGAAATTAATTTTTTCAGACCAAAACTTGCAAGTTAATTTCTCCTTGATTTTAAAATGTAAGTTAAATAGAACAGATCTAGTAGGCAAAAATAGCACTTCCATGCTTGCAAGAAGGTATTGCGCAAAAAAAATGAAATTACAATTATTACTTAGTAATTCGTTGTTAACTCATAGTTAGTTTGTATTTTGCCTGAAGAATCTTCCAGTTCCGTTCTCAAAAACGGCGAGTGCAGAAGTTGGAAATATTCTATTTTTTTTTTTTTCAGGAATTTGTTAGCAGTTGAGTGAAACTTGTAATTTTTTTGAACTGCATGGAAAACATAAACATTTGTTACCTCCTGAGACTATTCCTGGCTATATTAATATTTTTATAGACAAACTATAATCCATAGGGGTTGGTAACAGAAATATTAAGGCAGCCTTAATTATGGTAATCTAAATATACTATTCTACTAATTACAGTTATTCTACTTAGTATAAAAGTACATATTATTTGGTAAAAATGAATTGTATATGCTGGGTATTATACTAGTAAGGCCTGTATACCCACAACTCTTGATGAAGTGTTACAATTTCTTTGCAGTCCAGGGACATGCTTATTAATTGTCCTCTTGGTTTTTCATCTTTTGACAGAACAAAACACCCTTGGTAAATGAAAGCTTGAAAAAGTTTCTAAATACAAAAGATGGTAAGCTCTTCCCTGTTCATTAACTTATCCATTCCTTGAGTATCGAAAAATATTTTAAAGCAAAGGGAGGTAAAGCTGTTTGCTCCTGTTTTTGTAATATGGTCCTAATGTTGGTCATAAACAGATTTGCAGTAAAGATAGTAGCCAGTCTTGGTCCTCTTAAGTAAATTTCAAAACTATGATTGCATGCACTGAAGTCAGGATTGTGTTTTAAAGTTTAATATTTAGTTTATTGCCATAGTCTCAGTTGAGAGGACCAATTTCTGTGTTTTCATTTTGTTATTTTTTGATTTACAGTAACTCAGATGAGTCTTTTTAGAGCAATAGGAAACAGCAGCCTGACGCTGTAATATGAAAGTAGACTATAGAGGTGAGCATTAAAAGTGTGTGTGGGACAGAAACCAAGATTAAGGTGTCTGAGCTAGATTTTTTTTTAGGAGGTTAATTAGGGCCTTGAGTTTTGCTTCAGCAGTTTTGGTTTAATTTTAAGTGTCTTCATGATTTGGACTGAGGATTTGGAAATACCTAAATCACACACATCTTTAAAAATCAAGTCCTTTAATATTAGAGAATTTAATTCTGTTCGGAGTATCACATTTTTTTCCTATTTTCTTTTTAGGTTGCTTGGTTGCTAGTCTTGTTGCAGAATTTCTTCGATTTTTCAATCTTGACTTTACACTGGCAGTTTTTCAGCCTGAATCGAGCACAGTAAGAAAGATACTCTTTTTAATCATATGCTAACTTGACTGGTACAATTTAAATGAACAGATATAGATGCTTTATTAGATTTGGTTTGGTCTATCCAGTTAATCAAATTTATGTTGAAAATCTGCTGGAACGTAATATTGTATGCCTGCACTATCACAAGCCATAGACTGTTTCAAGTAGAGAAAAGCATGGTTATGTAACTGATAATTCTCTTGTTGTTGTTTTTTAAGTTGATTCTGCTAAAACCTAAGTGCTTCATCAATTCTTTTCTACCTCTGTCATTTTTAAATAAATTGGTTTTGTCTCTGGAATCAAATTATAACATTCCTTTGCACAGTGTGCCAAATTTCACATGTCTTCATCAGTGCAGCAATACTGAATTGAGAGTGAAATAAAGTGGCTCTACTCTAAGGTCATGTCTACACTAGGAAATTATTTTTAAATAATGATTCCAGAAATAACTATTTTGAAATGGCATGCCCATGCTACAGGGAAGCTTCAAAATTAGTTTGTCAGGCTCCCTTAACATGGACGTGCTACCTCAACTTATTGCCCCAGGAAGCACTGGAGAGTAATTACTTGGAGTGACTTTGGGGTGTAGTTATTTCAAAATAGCAGCAGTGGAACATCCACGCTGTCATTATTTCAAAATAAATGTTTTTCCTCACAGAAAGCAGGCGTTGTTATTTTGAAATAACCAGCCTGTTGATTTGAAATAAGTGTAGACCCAGAGCTGAGAGAAACTGGAGGAAAAACAAGTGATTGATTGCATGCAAGTGATTCAAACGCGCTAAGCCAGTGGTTCCCAACCTTTTTGATACACAAGACTAGCAAACTTGTTTACAAACTTTTGGCTGACTGGTATCATTTTATTTGTATATTTGCAAATTCATTATGTAGACGCTAAGTATGAAAATAAAACATTACTGGTCTGCCAAAAGCCCAGCCCCCAGTGCCAACCCTAACCCTAGAGTCCCCCAGTACCAGCCACTGACCCGAATACCCTGTGCCCAGCCTCCCACCCTCAGAGCTCCCCAGTGCCAGCCCCCCATCCCAAACACTTCAGTGCCAGCCCTCCAAACCTTCCCAGTACCAGTCTCCTGTTTCCAGAGCCCCATCACCACCCTCGGGGCCCTTAATTTCCCCCCACTACTAGCTGAGTTTCCAGAGCCCCCCAGCACTATCCCTACCCCTGGAGCCTCCAGGGCCTGTCCCGTCCCCCTCAATTAGTCCTGTGTTGCTCTCTGTGTTGCAGCGGCTCTGGGCACCACCCAGCACCTCCACTCCTGCTGTGGTTGTTGGGAGAAGCGTGTCCTGCTCTGCCTCTCAGCCAGCCAGTGCCGAGCAGGGGCAGACTCCTCCAGCTGCAGAAGAGCGCTTTCGTGGGTGACGAGGGATGCATAGAGCAGTTTTGCGTGGCCTTCCCACCATGTAGGGAAGTGTTCTTCTGTGGCTGGGAGGAGACCCTGCCTCTGCCTGGCCCTGGTTGGCTGAAAGGCAAGGCAGAACACACCTCTCCCAACACCTGCAGCAAGAGCAGTGTGCCCTGGGCCCCAGACTGGCAGCCAGGGTTCCACAGCCCAGCAGCAGGTTGTAGCCTGGCATTTGGGAACAGCTACACTAAGCAATAAGGTTACATGCTTGAGGCATTGGCCTAGCATTCTGATACAAGAGATGGAGACTAAAAACTGTGTTCTTGTTTTAAAAGTTGGTACTATATTTAGCTATTCCTAATAAACATTTTTTCTATGATCACATAAGGTTGCCAGATGGTTTCAACAAAAATACAAGACACACTTGACATTCCATCACAATCTACATTACATCTTATTTAGAAAATACCGAACATTTATATTTTCTCATTTATTTTTTTCTCAATTTTTCCCCAACAGAGAACTCAAATACTCGACTGTCCAGACACCTGGCAACTCTGATGATCAAATACTTGTATATGACAATTATTTCTAATTGGAAACACTTTTTCTTTTTTTTTAATGTTTATTCCTTTGAAAAGCTCTTTATTTTTATTGATCACTTTTCAGTTATTTAATTTTGAAGAACCCTTGCTAAACTAGTTATTTAAGCCTGAATTTGAGCAGCAATAATTTTTTTTCACTTGTATGGAATATTGATTTAATATCCATTTTAAAAAGTGGTTATTTATAAGGCATTTGTTAATTCAGTTTAGATAAACAGATGCATACTAGGTGCTTTATATTAAATCCTAGTGAAAGGATTTTTGACCTGTTTCACAGAAGAACACTCTTAAGCAATTGACTATCTTTCTCTCTTTGGACTTCATCCTAAATTCACCTAGAATCCGCTGTTGTGTCAAATGTCCTCATCTCCATGTGTATTCAGAATCAGCTTTTATTAAGATTAACATATATATTAGAGAAGTATGTTAAGTATTCCCTAGAAGGTCTATTCTGAAAATGGCACTTGCTTGCTTAACAGTTTGTCTTGGTGCATCTATAGTTAACATCTGCTGAATTAAGTAGCCAAAAATGGTGTTATTATATACTGCATCTGTTGTTAGCCATGCAGAGTGAACATATCTGAGTGTACAAGATGAGTTCTCTTTGTTATCTGTAGGTTTTTTTTCCTCCAGTTAAAATGCAATCTATTATACCTGTGTAAAACTTAGTGAAGGCAGTGGACTTGTACAGATGTCCCCAAAAGCATATTTTGATATTATTAACTCTCAAAACCCAAGTTCAGATTGCGGAGCTGGCATTTTTGAGGTGTGTAAATGGGGGCATATTTGATGAGCTGAATAGAAATAAAATAAAGCATACCATGATGACAGGTTTAGTCCTTTTTCAGGCTGTAATCTATTCTGAGAGAGTTCCTTTCAGTAACTTTCCATGATTTACTATATTTGCTAATGATATTGTTTCCTGGCTGCACACTTTTATGAAGTAATACATTCAGTGTGCAATATTAGTTATTTCTGTAGTAATTTAATGGGACTGAGCATTGATGTTTTATTCCGAAGGTTTTTTGTTTGAGTAAAACTAGGCCTTTATGGACTAAATGATTACAGGCAGTCCCCGGGTTACGTACAAGATGGGGACTATAGGTTTGTTCTTAAGTTGAATCTGTATGTAAGTCAAGTTTTAAATGTAGTTCTCCATCTGTTTTATCATCTGCAAACTGAAGTTACTCATAAAGTGTAGGGTTCCTGGGTAAATAATTAGTCATGGGTCTTTTGTTAAACAGTTTTGCCTCTCTTTGTCTGCAACACATCATGACTTTTTTCAAATGTACTAGTTAATTTCTGCAATCAATGTTACTGATCTGCAGCATAGTTATAATTATGAATTTTAAATACTCTTTCCAGGGATATTTTTCCAAATTGCTTAAAATTTATTGTTTCTGTATCTATTCCTTCCAGAAAACTTGTTTGGTAGAACATCCAAAAACAAGCATAAGAGGGACAAAAATACAAACTGAATTGGTTTACAAATTCTAAAAAATGTTTACGGCATACAGGCAGTCCACGAGTTACGCATATCCAACTTACGTCGGATCCGCAGTTACGAACGGGGCCCGTCTCCCTGGTCTCCAGCAGACCAGGGAGAGGAAGTAAAGCGGCGGAACACGCAGGCAGCCCAGACGCATCTGGGCTGTCTGCTGCCCGCGTACTCCGGGGCTTTGCTCCCCGTCCCCCTGGTCTGCAGACCAGGGGGACGGGGAGCAAAGCCCCGGAGTACGCGGGCAGCAGACAGCCCAGATGCGTCTGGGCTGCCTGCGTGTTCCGCCGCTTTACTTCCTCTCCCTGGTCTGCAGGAGACCAGGGAGAGGGCCCCGTTCGTAAGTGCGGATCTGACATAAGTCGGATCCGCGTAACTCGGGGACTGCCTGTATATAGTTGTGATGGCTCAGCAAGCTGCCAATGTGAAATATATTGGCAATTTTATTCTGTTTTGAATGAGATGATGTCTACATCACAAGTAAAGTTTTGTGTTTAATTTCCTTTTAATGAGAGCTGCTGCCCTCTTCAACATGGTTACCTTAAAATTTAAAAGAGGAAGGATGCTGTTTGTAGCCATTCTATACTCGTGTCTGTAAAACTTGGACAAAACATACTTTTATGTCTCAGCTACGTGTGTAAGAGTTGAATTTAGAGCTACCTTTTGTTCATTTTTAACTGATTTATAAGCTATTATATAAACAGAATAGGACAATTTTTCATCTGGGTCATTATTTAAAATCACACATTTTTTGGATCCATAGCAGTTGGAAATTTAGGGCTTTGATTCTGCATACTGCTCCACATAGGTGAAGCCATATGCTTGTGCAGTTCCACTGAAGTCACTGAAATCCTGCATGGAGGCTGTGGTCCACTTTGTGCTGAGCTTGGTGCATAATCATTGATTGAAGTATGGTATTGACTCAGTTTTAAAAGGTAATAGACTAAACCAACTTGAACGGAACATTATTTTAATTTGAATTGTGTGTTAAGTTACATATAATATTCATATGTTGCATTAAGACTGCATTGTAAATTCTGTAATGTGGTATAAAATAAAATTGCTGTTTAGAGTCAGCTAATCCTGATGTGTAAAAGTGTATACTTGGAAATTCTTGATTGGTTGGTCAAGTTGTTGCTGGGCTAACTCCTGAAAAGTTTACCATTTACATTTGAGTTTAAGATTTGTATATTAATTTTTTTTTCAGCTAAATGGGCTTGAAGGGCGAGAGAATTTAGCTCGGGATTTAGGAATTATAGAAGCAGAAGGTACTGTAGGTGGACCCTTATTGTTGGAGGTGGTCAGAAGATGTCAGCTGAAAAAGGGTTCCAACAGCGGAGAAGTAAGTATTGATAAAATAAACGAGTTACAATATTTTTACAATTTACATTTTTATGTAGTTTATAAATTGCTTGGCTGCTTCTAGAGATGCACCAGTTCTATACTTCGTATGGAAATAGTATTTATAGAGAAAGTTGCCATCAGGGTTTTCATTTCTGGATTTTAGCTCTTAAATGCTATTCTAGGATTTTCCTCAATTCTTAGGGTCTTCAGATAAGTCAAATTACATGTAAATATTTTTATCTTTATTTACCAGGATATTCATCTGTGCAGTGTTTTCACTAGGGATGTAATAGTATAGTCTATAGTTAATGCTATAGACTACATTCATTCCCTTACCCTCAGTCCCTTGCCAGTAATTTTTTTAGCAGGTTAGCCAGCAGCCTGGCTCAGTCCTGGCTCGAACTGGGTTTGGGACCTCCCCCTGCCATGAGCCTGGCTCATTCTTGATGTATGCCAGGTCCAGGACCTACCCCCTGCTGTGGCTCTGCATTTAAAATGTATTAGGAGCCAGGCGGGCAGGCAGCCTGGTCAGTTTAGTCTCACACTTGGTCTGGGAACTCAGACCGCCCATCCTGCTCCCTCCCCCCACCAGGGGCTGCTGCCACCCTGCATTGCTGCCTCTGTATCAGGTGTGGGGCCAAATTGCATTGGCTGTCAGACCCTCCTGGGGACTATAGAATAGGCGAGTAACTGATATGAATTCATCAGGTTAATCGACTATTCAACTAACAAATATTTAACATCCCTAGTTTTTAGTTTTGGGGATTAAGTAGTTTGAGAGTTGTCCTAAAAGAAGAAAAATGGATAAAGCTGCAATAGCAGCAAGGCCAATGCCAGAGTGTGAATTTTTCTCTCATTTTTATTTTAAAAGTCTATGAATATATGGCTTGATTCTGCTCCATTTAACCCCCTGTGAGTTTTGCCATTGACTCCCAATAGGAGCAGGATCATATCCATGAAGAGGATTTTTATTCATCCAATCCAGAAAGAATACTTCAGTATATAAGAGGTGACAGCAATGAGTGAGAAACTTTGTGCGTGCCCTCTTCTCCCCCCCCCTCCCCCCCCAAAAAAAAATTAGTGAACTGAGAATAGTTTCTTTTGGAATGTCTCTTAACTTTATAAGGGGAGGGGAAAGCGTTGCAAGAGTTTTCTCAAAATCTTTTCCAAAAAATGGAGAAACAGGATTCCATTCTGGAAGCTATCAGAGCAACAGTGCTTTGTAAATATGTAGTGAAGATCATATTTTGGCAGACCTCTGCAAAGAAATGGAGATACATCTGAAGCAGTGTGTGGCAGTAGCATATGTAGTTGTAGTTCTTTCATTTCTTGATCTTTGAGAATTTCATGTTTGCACAATTAGGAACTCAAAAGTTTTTTATGGCATATACATCTATTATATATGGCACACATACTATGCTCACTGGTGTATTGGACTGTATGTAGGCACAGATATCCATTTTATTGTAAACAGTAGTCCAAGAGAATGATATAAAACACTAAAATATTTTTTTAAAACCTGCCGCCTTTGTGATAAATTCTTAGATTTTTGTATAGTCTTCAAGACGACAAAGTCATTTATCTTGCCAGACTCCAATTTTAGGTCTATTTCAATTGCACTACATTATGTTCTGCTTTGAGAACTCCTTAACTATTTCTATTGACTATATATTAAGAAATAGTGGTCCCTTTGCAAAACAGATATAGCTTTGCCAGTTTTAACTTCTTTCTCCTTTTAGACAAGATCTGATGGTAGCTAAATGTAAGTTACAGAGAATATAGATAGTTATATATGAAGCTCTGCCCCTTTCTCTCGGCCCATGGTCACCAACCAGTCGATAGCAAGGCGTTCTGGGCCCCTCATTTTCCCCCCACCCCCAAGAAGCCCCACTACCTACCTCCAGTGACAATGGAGGTAGTGGCAGCTTTCCTGCAGGGTGGATGGAAGTTGTGCAGCTGTGCGTCACTTCCAGGGGTTCCGGAAATGTGCTGGCTGCTTCCTTGCCCCAAGTCTGTGGTGTGCTGGGAACTTACCGGGTGAGTCTCGAGAGGCACGCACTGGGACTTCCCTTCTCTGCAGGAGAGAGGGGTCGGGCCCAGACGGGGTGCGCACCGGGGGCTTCCCTGCTCTGCGGGAGGAAGGGGTTGGGCCTGGAGGGGGTACGTGCCGGGGGATTCCCTGCTCCGCGGGAGGCTCACACCGGCCCAGGAGGAGGTGCGTGACAGGGCTTCCTTCCTCCGCAGGAGTGGGTGTTGGCCCCGAGGGGGCACATGACGGGAGCTTCCTTGCTCTGCGGGAGAGGGGAGTCGGGTGCAGAGGGGGCACACAACGGGGGGCTTCCCTCCTTTGAGGGGGGGAATCCTGAGAGGAGGCAGGTGCAGGGGACTCTCTGGCCCCATTGGCACCCTGCCGCAGAACCCTGCCCTCACTGGCACCCTATCCCCTGCCCCAGCACCCACTGGCACCCTTCCCCAGTACCATGTCCCTTGCTCCCACCAGCACAGTTGGGGCCACATTAATGAGGCTGGGGAGGGAGGGGTTGGAGGAGGTGTGGTGTATTTGTTTATTGGTGTGGGGGTTTTTTTGTTTTTGTTTTTTGCATCTCACTTGTGTGGCCCCAACTGACTTTTCTGTGGGTCAGTAACTCCTGACTCAAGACAGGTTCCCTGCCCTTCTCATAAATAAAGACAATGCAGAAATGTTTTATGTTTGACATAGTATTTTATTTAAAAACAAAGCCTGGCCAACAAACTCCCAGTTGGGGCCAAACCCCCATCTGGCCACAGCGCCATAACACTCCTGTGCACCCCCTGCCCCCAGATGCTAGATCTGAGCCTATCATACACTGTAACCCCCTGCCCTGAGCCCCTCACATTCCCTAAACCAAATTCCTGAACCCTCACATCTATAAGCCTGTGGCTTGCTTAGTACCCCAACCCTACATCTGACCTCAACACTGCCTGGCCTGGAGCCCCCTCCCTGAGCCAGTGTCGTCCTTCTCCATCTCCTCCTGTATCCAGATTTCCTCCCAGAGCTTGCACCTCTCAACCCTTTCCACACCCAAATCCCTCATTCCCACCCCAGACCCTACACATCCTGTCTCAACCCAGCGAGGGTACGGCTAGACTGCAGGAGTTTTTCAGGATTCCAGAGATATCCCAGAAAAACTCTTCTGCATCCAGGGATGTGTTTGTTCTTCTGCTTTTTTTTAGTGGATGAGCAAACATGCTCTTTTGGTCATCCCTATATCCCTCTTTCCACGAGAAATAAGGGAGCTTCTAAAAGAAGGGGTTTTCTGACATTTGGTCCAGTCTAGACAGGCCAAATGTTGGAAAAACCTTCCTACAGAAGAATTGGGTGGGAAGCAGCAGTATAATGGTTGAGGATAGCAAGTGATGGAGAGGAGGAGAATAGAGAGGGCGAGGCTTTAAGGAAGGGGTGGGGTGGTAGATCTTGGCTTGCTCTGTCCTTTAAAAAGGGATCTTGGGTGTAAAAAGGTTGGAGACCACTGCTCTAGGCTCTCTCTAACATCAGTTTCTGCTTCTTTTGTTACAATTAACTCACGAGACACTTCAGCTTTACATCATAGTTCCATTGCTCAATGAGAAACAAAAGCAGCAATCCCACAAGCTGTGGTTTTCTATGTGCTTGTTGTCTGGAGATAATCCTTGTTTGCTTAATTTCTTGTAGCCTGTATGTTTGAAGTAAGGCTGGTTGTTAAAATAGGAAAATATGAATATGTAAACTTACCCCCTGTCCCTAGAGTAAACAAATAATGTTTGTTCATTGTGTGAAAAAACACTCCCAGACTGACACAAGTTTTACTGATCAAGCACTTTGTCTGTGGGAGACACTCTCTCAGGCTACGTCTAGACTGCAGGCCTCTTTCGAAAGAGGCTTTTTCGAAAGATAGTTTCGAAAAAGCTTCTTTCGAAAAAGAGCATCTAAACTGCAACCTCTTCTTTCGAAAAACTGAGCCGCTTTTTCGAAAGAGAGCACCCAAGCAGTCTGGATGCTCTCTTTCGAAAAATCCCAGTTTGCAGTCAAGAACGCCTTTTTTCGAAAGATCACTTTCGAAAAAAGGCGTTCTTCCTCGTGAAATGAGGAGTACCGCTGTTGAAAGAAAAGCTGTGTTCTTTCAATTTTAATTTCAAAAGAACATGACTGTAGTCTAGACGCAAGTTAAGTTTTTCGAAAAAAGGCTACTTTTTTTTAAAAAAACCCTGCAGTCTAGACACAGCCTCACTGACAAAACTACCACCCTTCATTGGAGATCTTTTGTCTCTCCTCCTGATAAAATAAAACTGAGTGTTTACCAAGCATAACTTAGAGTGGCACTGTTGTAGCAGTACAGCTGTGCTGTTGAGAGATACATAGTGTAGACATAACCTTGGGAGGGTTTTTTGTTTTGTTTTTACAAAAAGAAATTTCAAAATAGATTTAATTACTAGCATGTCTTTATAAAAGTTGAGAACAGCATTTCATTATGTTTAAGAAAGGAATGAGATTATGTATTACTCTTTAATCAAAAATGTTATAACAGCAATTTAGTATAATAGGTAAAGTATTCAACCATGTGTTAAGAGGATGTAATGATGAATTATTCTGTTGATTGCATCAGGATTAAAAAAAAATCACTGAGATGTAAATCAATATAGTATTTGCTACGTAGTTTCTAATTTAGCTTTAGTCAAACAACAATTCTGAGGGATTAGTGTTTATGCAGTGTACTATGTGTAGTATAAAAGAGATTACTTCTCCCTCTTCTGTCTGGTTAGTGTTTAGCTGACTGATATATCCCTACTTGTAACAAAAAAAATCATATCTGTTAATTTGAAATACTGCTTTTCTGCTTAAACCTGTTGTATTTTTAAATGGAAAATGAAGCGTGTATATGACAAAATACTAGCTTACATAAATATAGTGAAGTTACATGGGATCACCAAATTTAATGGTGTCTGTGCTGTATGCGCAGAGAATGAAACGCAGGTGATAGCATTTATTTTCATTCCTGGTCAGGACAGTCATGTCAAAGAATGAATGTTGTTTGCCAGACTCTCAGAAGTAGTTCATTCAGCCCTTTTGTGGATATGTGTTTGACTACACTCCAATAAACTGGATGGAAGGAAATTTAATTTTAAAATTGCTCTGGCTTGGAATTGCTAAAGTGGCTGCACAACAGCATAATTTGTATGCAGTAAAGGGCAAAAAGTTTTGCGTTCTTCCTCTGTCATCAGTTGGCATTCTGACATAGTCCTACAAAATCTTAAATATGTTGTTTCTTTGTAAAACTTTGGTTTAGGTAGCTCCAGGTCTGTCTGACATGCATTCTTCACTAAACTCACCCGATGCCAGATCAAGTACGCATCCAAGTAAGGTAAGTAAGTTACATAAAAGGAAACACTAATAATGTATGTTTGTGGTTAAAGTGCATTAAAGATGTTTTTATTGTAAAAGACAATTATTGCAGAAATGCTGACTCATTCATTTAACAGCAATCTTTTGATCATCATATTTAGTTGGTTAAGGCTTTGGTCTGTCTTATCCAAACATTTTTGAAATTTAGAAGGGCAGAGCAAATCCTCGTATAGGGACAGTGGATGTTGAAACATTGGCTGTTTGTTTTAATTTGTCAACGGTGCCTTAAATAGGAGATGGCTGCAAAAACTGTTGTGAAGATTGTCATAGGCTGCATTGCTGCATGCTGTTAGATAAGAGGTAAAAAAAATTGGTGTCCATGAAAGCTATAGACATGTCTTACATGTGTTAGGCACAGGATGAAGGGCTAATTGTCACAACTAGTGATGTCAGGAGAAAACACTGTGTTAAACTAGCTCTGTGCTATGTCTGTTCAAAGCACAAAAAAAACCCCTACTCTAGACACTTGTGCTCATCCTGTGTTTATTCACTTACACTTTATTATTGAGGCAGCCCCCCATACTTTAAGAAAATTGGCTTATGAATATGCGTAACTTGACTTATGAATATTGGCTTATGAATATGTGTAACTTGAAGATACTGTACACAATTCCTCATATAACATGTCAGTTTTTATTTTACAATGGTGAATGTGTATATCCTATTTTTGTGCATGTATCATTCTTGTATGTGAAGTTAGAAATATGATGCATGGATCTGTTTATAATTCTAAATGTATTAATGAGGGCCATTACTGATGCTCTGGAAACTTAATAGCTTGGTGATCAAATCAATGACCGTTAATAGTCTTGTTTGTTTTGTAACCTCAAATTGTGGTTGAGCCCAGAAAGATGTGACCATGCCACCTGGTACTGAAATTCATCTTGAACCTGGTATTTTCCCAACGGTATATGGGATGCTGAACAAAGGGTTCCTGTCCTGGGGGGAAAGTCTATTTTAGAAGTGGGAAGCAACCAACTTTTGTTTTCAGCTGGTTTTTTTAAACTTCCTGGCCCACCCTAAGGGGATAAAAAGAACTTTGAAAAAGCTGTAGACTCTGGCAGGGTAAAAATCAACTTTGACTCCAAGTTCTTTACCTGAGATAAGAACAGGTGTTTAGGGTAAGAATTTGTATGTAACAAGTTTTTTAGTGGATTACAACTAGCTAAGTATTTTTTTGTTCATTTTAATTTAGTTAGTAACTTAGATCTGGCTGTTTTCATTTGCAACCACTTGAATCCTACTTCTTGTATTTAATAAAAGCACTTTTTTGTTTGTTATAAAGCCCAGTGTAAATAATTGTTACTTGGGAGAGGGGGTAGCAACTACAGTGCATATCTCTCTTTAATTGATAAAGGGGGTGGACCTCCTTATAAGCTTTCTCTATGTAAGAACTTTTACACTTAGTATGACAGATTTATTTGTGGGTTGGGTCCCATTGTAGGTTGGCTTCCTGGATGCTGAGCCTTTATATTTGCACCCTCCTAGAGGTGAACTGTTTCAGTGTCTGTGTTGCTCTGTGGAGGGGGTGGCGGTGATGGCAGCGATAACCCTAACTCTGTGCCTTGTATGGGGGTCGCCAGTGGATCTGGCTCAGCACGTCAGGGTGATAGGGCATCCCAGAGAGCAAGGAGGGTGTCAGTGGCATGATCAGCACACCAAGGGACAATCCAAAGGGGACTTCTGTGATTCACCCTGTCATACATGGATCCCTTTTTAATTTTTATTTTAGATGTGTACAAACTGAAATTAGTTTTGTTGCTTTCCATTTTACTCCAGTTCGGGGGAATTGGAATATAGATATAGAATGTGAAGTATTGTATTCCAGCAGCAATTTCACTATCACACTGTTGGATTTTCCTCTCAGATATATGTACCAACAATTCTGAATGGCATGTCACATAGAGCTAGTCTCTAGCCTTCTCTTGCTTCCCCAACATACTACAAAATTCAGAACTACAAAAATATAAAATAAAACACACTTTTTGAAAGAAACATTGTGATGAAGGAAGGAGAGTACAATTGTCATAATTGCACTATTCTTTACTATTTTATATACATCTTGTTATGGAAGAGAGAACTCATCATAGAAGCTGCTTAATTGGGACACCCTATGGAATTCCCATAATCTTGATTTAATAGCTGTTTAATTTAAATAGTTTCTCCAAACATTACTCCAAGATTATCACCATATGTTTCTGTAACTTGAATCACTTAACTAATGCTTGGTTTATATGCTTGCTATATTTTTACTACATATATCTCACTTTAAAATGATTTAATTTCCATTTTATTTCAGTTATCAAAACCATTAAAATTTTCATGAACTATACATCTACTGGATATTTTCTGGCTGCCATTACATGGAACAAAGCAAAAGTGGATTATTGAATTTTAACTTTCTTTGACATCTGCATCTCTATTAGGCCAAAAGTCATCCCTACAAAGCATCATTGAGCAAATATTCTTTTAAAGCAACAAAATAGATACTTATTCAGTTGAATATGGAAAACTTGTTTTCAGAACTCCATTACACTAAAGTAAATTTATTAATGCACATCTCAAGTGGCTTCAGCTGCCACTCAAATTTTTTTTAAAGTGTATCTGAATAAGTCATAGTGCAACATTTGTAAATATCTATTTGAAATATCAGGGTTCATAGTAAGAAGAGAATAAAAAGGCTAGTAATAAGGGTGTCTACTTTTGTTTATGAGAGTGGAAATTACAGAAGAGAATTAGGAAAGTCTGTGCCTATTGGAAGCTTCAGTTTGTAATATTCTGCATTGTCGCTTAGTAAACACAAATAAGTCTGTTCAGTGCTGTCTCAGGATATCACTGCTTTTTACCAGCTAGTAAACACAGTTTCTTAATTCTGCTTTTAAAAATGTTTTTAGACTTGTCTGTGTCATCTAAGTAACCTTTGTTCAATGTTTGGTGTTCAAAGCACTAGAAAAAGAAAGTTAAAGAAATGTACATAATAGCAAATAAGCTTTAACTTAGAAAGCTAACGTTCTTCTTCGAGTGGCTCCGTGGGTGCTCCACTCTAGGTGTCGGGTCCATCCCGGCGCCACTGGTCGGAAGTTTTCAGAGCCACCTTCGGCCGGTCTGTGCATGCCCCCTGCAGCACGCGGCTTTCGAGCCTTTGATCACAAGCGCAGACCGGCTCCCTCCCGCCAGTTCCTCTCAACCGTCCTAGGTTGCTGGTGGAGCTTTGTGATCTCCTCAGACACAGAGCAAATCCTGTCAGAAAGAATTGTAAAATAGTTAGTCTTTGTTCAGTAGTTAGTTTCCTGTTAATTAGTTAGTTTTTGAAAAGGGGGGGAAAAAGAGAGAGAAAGACGTTCTAGTCAATTTCTGCCAGTGCGGCAGTTTGCTTAGTCAATTTCATCATGCCTGGGACACCAGGATTCAAACGGTGTTCCCAGTGCAAAGAGGCTATGCCAGCCTCAGACGGTCTCACAGTCTGTGTCTGTTGTTTGGGGGAGTCCCATGTACCCCAAAAATGTGCTCATTGCTTGAAATTAACCCCGCGGGCGCGCAGGGACAGGGATCTCCGGCTCAAGCTTCCTCTGTGACAAGGCTCTTCAGCCTGTACAAACTTCTCAGGAGCAAATAACTGCTCCGAAGAGAAGGGCGCTATCACCAGGAGTGCCTAAAACAAAAAAGAAAAAGGCTTCTCTCTCCCCGCAGTCCCCCTGCCGCGGGTGAGTCAGGACAAGTCCGAGGCAGCAACAGTGGGCATTCGACCGGCATCTAAAGCACTTTCCCGGTCTGTGGCAGAATCATCCAAGCCGCGCACAGTTTCGGCTCCTGCAGCAGCTTCCCCTACTTATAGGGAGCATAAACAGACCAGAACCCCTTTGGGGGATAAGCTGGCCGTGCCACTAATGCCACCAACGTCCCTGCAGAAACGGGACGAGTCAAGAGCGGCACCGGAATCTGCACTGCTGAGGGCACCCCCGACCCCTCCACAGGAGTGAGCACTGGCCGCTCCAGAGGACAGACAGTGGCACCGGGATACCACGGCTCACTGCACCGTAGACATGGTGCCGACAGGGCAGCCGGCACCACGAGAGCAATTCCCCTGGAGCATTCACTCCGCGCCGTGGAAGAGCATTCACTCAGCGAGAGCTGCTCAGTCCTCCCACCCCTCTGCACCGAGACTACAATCAACCTCTCTGCCTCCAAGACACTCTCAGCTGGTGTGTGCTGAGCGTAACCATGGCAAACCAGCAGGAGACCTGACAGCTGCTCGGGAGTCCCAGGCAGCTCGGGAGTCCCAGGCAGCTGTTCCTGCTAAGGCAGCAAGGAAATCAGCACCTAGAAACCATTCCAGGTCGCCTGAGCCTTCTCCACCTGCATGTCATTCAGACGGGGGCTTATTCCTCTGCATATAGCAATTCTCATAGGCGCTCCTGCTCGAATTACTCTTATAGATATGATTGTGTCTCTCCACATAGATCCCGCTCGCCGACCTACTCTCCTCCCAGATCATATCGGAGCAGGCATGGCAGCATATATGCATCAAGGAGATCATCTCCTGACTATGATTATCATGCTCACAGGAGTTATCATGCCCCTATAAGGAAGGGCAGATCACACTCCCATTCCCACTCTTGCTGTTGCCATCAGTCTTATCGGAGACAGTCTTCACCACATGCTCCAGAATATCTAAGACCTCAGTCACCGAAGCCGCCCTTTCCCACGGCCCCCTCAGTATCAGTCCTTTCTGATCCGGAGGAGGGTCAAATTTCGGATACAGACGAGCACACGCCTACAGCTTTCCCCTGGGGATGTCCAATCGTCCTCCCCAGATGATGCAGTTTTCGTGGCGGATCCTTCACCACCGGACGATGCCCGTGAATTCCGAGACCTATTCAAGAGGGTGGCACAGTCGCAGGGAGCAGGGAGTTCAACTAACGGACGTGCAGGTGAAACAACATAAGTTGTGGAAGAATT